AATGTAAGGCTTCTCTGCTCTCGACAATACTACATCTACACTACAACAGATCATGAAAATATTTTCAAATTACACTCTGTCCATTATTTAAGTAGTTCCTATTGATGAAAGCATAAATGTGGCTGAGAGATGGCTCCTGTGTGTTGATGAGAGCTCGTTTCTTGTAAATGTTTCAGTGCAGCGGGGCATGAAGCTGCAGGAACAGATAGTTATTGGCACACCTGGTACCATGCTGGACTGGTGTGGAAAGTTCAAGTTCATAGACCCCAAGAAGATAAAGGTGTTTGTGCTGGACGAGGCCGATGTCATGATCGCCACACAGGGTCATCAGGACCAGAGCATCCGCATCCAGAGGTCAGAATAAACAGTGTTAGCACACACCAACAGAAGAAGTGCTTGTGTCTAAATCTAAAATGAATAAATCTTGAGTATTTGTATCATGTTCTTAATGAAGTTCACTTAAATTATGCATCAGTTATCTTGTAAATTGGGTTTTTTCAAGCCGAGTTTCTATAATCTCTTTTGACCTTCATCTACCAACCTTTCACTCCTCTTTTCTCTGTCACACAGGATGTTGCCTAAAAACTGCCAGATGCTGCTGTTCTCAGCCACGTTTGAAGAATCAGTGTGGAACTTTGCCCAGCGTATCGTGCCTGACCCCAACATCATCAAGCTGAAGAGAGAGGAGGAGACGCTAGATACCATCAAACAGTACTATGTGTTGTGCAACAGCAGGGAGGAGAAGTTCCAAGCCCTCTGTAACATCTACGGAGCCATCACCATCGCCCAGGCCATGATCTTCTGCCATGTGAGTTAATTCACTTCACACTCATTCAATTTATATTGTCATACATTATGTGTAGTAAAAACGATGATCCTCACATGGAATCCAGGTTTTTTTTTATATGAATAAAGAAATACAGATTTCCTAAGTTCCTCTTCTGCGATCCTGTCAGCAAACCTGCTGCTGCAGTTGTCATAAAGCTTTTTCTCTGTGTGTCCATATGTCAGAAAAATAACTTGGCAGCACTAGTTGATTTACTGGATTAGTTTGTTTATTTTACCAACACTTGACTCGCAGGGCTTTGATCATGCCGTGAATCTTCCTGTAAATCACCCAGTCTTGCCAAGTTGCGTTTTCACATTAGGTGCTTTGTACAACTAGCTTGCAGATGAAGTAATGAGAGCACTTTGCTATGTGTGATTCAGACAAGAAAGACTGCAGGCTGGCTGGCAGGGGAGCTGTCCAGAGAGGGCCACCAGGTGGCACTGCTCAGTGGAGAGATGCAGGTGGAGCAGAGGGCTGCCGTCATTGACCGCTTCAGAGACGGCAAGGAGAAGGTCCTGGTCACCACAAATGTTTGTGCTCGAGGTAAGGACCAAGTGTCATCACAATGGGCAGAATCAACAAGACTTTCTATTAAGCTGTTGCATACACTGAAAAGCCCATTTTCTCCATAATAAATACTATTACTTCAACCTGGTTTGTTGGATATGGGTAAAAACACCCTTTAAATTAATCTTTTCATTTCAAATTTAATATGGTGGAGTACAGAACCACAACAAAACTATTTAAATTCTTACACACTGCACTGTTGTGATCCATTTTAACGGGAGCTAAATTTCCTTGAAAAATATAAGAAAAATGAAATTAAAAACCTTTTGTAGTGGAATAAAATATGCATTGTTAGATGCACAAAAGTAAAATACAAATATTACAGTATTGGCCATGTACATTGTTTTTCGTTGTTGTGATATTTTACCTTTTCTCCACTTCTCTTACATTCAGGTATCGACGTCGAGCAGGTCTCTGTGGTGATCAACTTTGACTTGCCAGTAGACAAGGACGGTAACCCAGACAACGAGACATACCTGCACAGAATCGGACGCACAGGTCGATTTGGCAAAAGGGGACTGGCTATCAACATGGTGGACAGCAAGATGAGCATGAACATCCTCAACAGGATCCAGGAGCACTTCAGTAAGTCATCTGACTGTGACCGACAGCCAGTATTACATCCTCCTCGTCCTATCTGGTTACTCACTCACCAGAGGTCCTCCGATCTTGTTCAGCAGCTGTTACAAACACTTTCTTATGCGCACAAACAGTGGGATCACGTTGATTAGTATATTCATTCTGTTTTTGGTGGTGTGTGCTTATGCTCAAAGGAATACTTTGTCCCAAATTACCATTTGTATATCAGTTACTCAACCCACGCTATGTTGATTGCGTAAAAAGAAAAAAAAAATTTCTCTTGTGCCTCCATGGTGACTGAAAAATTCAAAAATTAAGAATTGAGGCAGCGGTAGACGAGCAGCTCCCGTGTTCAGCAAGGTGAAATTACTGTTTAAGCCAATTGAGCCTGGCTTTGAAGAGAGCTTTGATAATACTTTATGAGTTGTGTGAGATTCTTTAAACAGATGGTTTGATGTCATTTCGCCTTTGTTAAACATGGGCCCTGTAGGCATGTGAGAAAAATAAAGTTATCTTCTTGAATTCAACTTCAAAAAGATTAAGTAATCAATATATAAGTGGTCACATGGGGAATGAAGTATTGCTTTTAACAGTTGCTTAAAAAAACAAACTCCAGTCAGGACATTGGTTGCTTTCAGTAATCAGCCATATATCAACCCTTAAAATGAATCCCACCATTTTCTATGGTTTCTCTCTCTGCAGGCAAGAAAATTGAAAAACTAGACACAGATGATCTGGATGAAATCGAGAAAATCGCCAGCTAAAGAGGACGGTGTTTATCGCATGAAGGATGCCGGCCCGACTCCCCCTCCCCTCTTGGCTCTCTCCAAGGACTGTACGCTCCTACAGTGTTTTATGCTTTTATTTTTTTAGCCGTCGGAGAAAAGAGAAAACAACCACAAACACAACATATGTTTACACGTGGATATGTCTCCTCTCAGACGAGTGTTTTGTAAGTCTCTGGTACATACCCCATTTCACTCTTTGTACTCCTTTGAATAAAGTCTATGAGTTTATCGCTGTGTATCGTGGTGCTGTAAAAGCAGCCGTAGTCGACTCTGTTACTGAACACACTTGGAGTGAAAAACACTTTTTGGTGTTGCCTGTAGTGGTGGCATGATACAAGCTATTCTGTAAAGAAACTCACAAAAAATCCTAATGGAAAAATAACCATTTTATGTGCCACAAAGTTTTTAATTTTAAAAGGAACAAAGTATAATCGAATGTACCTGTATCATGTAGACTATTACAGCATTTATTGTGACGACTAAACCTCAGTACAAAGGGTGAAGTTGGGTATGCTGCTCTGAGTGGTAGTTTAAATCATTAAGATTGTTATTGAGATGGTGATGGTTGGGTTTCAAGGGTCTATGCAAACTTATCAACCTGTGATAGCTATTCTCAAATACTATCAACCTGTATTCACGTGACAAATTAATCCTGAATTAACCTCAGCTTTAGCATCAGGGTGTGTAGTCAAATGCCAAAAAAGGCTGCCTAGAATGATAATACACTACTAACTCCAAGTCATGGACATTTAGATATTTCTGTTTCGCCAGTAATCCATCATCAGCCAACCACACATCTCACTCGCATGTTATTTATATCATTTTAAAAACCATATGGCTGTTATCAGGACAGGCTTGGCGCCACTGTCGAGCATTAATCATTAGTCTTCTTTTTCCTTCATTTGTCTCGTAAAACCTCATTTCAATTCAAATGTGGCCATTATGTGATCAGTTTCCCTTTGTGTCTCACTGTCCCACACAATCTTTTCAATCAGGGTCTCCAGTTTGACTTAAGCTCAGCTACATTCTTGACTTAGACTGTGCTGTTGTTAAGGATTGTGAGTTTAAAAAAAAAAAAAAAAAAAAACTAAACGCAATGCCTTCCTCAAGTGCATTATACTATATACATATTTTGTTTCTAAGACATTGGGCTTAATATTCTGGCTAACACTTGAAATTTTGATTATATATTGAATTATGAGCGTCTTTAGGATGTGTGAATTATCTTGAAACCAAATGCTGAATTGACTTGAGGACCTATGCCAATCAGATTCACTGTGTTGCTCCAACATGGTCGCATGGATAGAAAACATGTACTTGTGTACATATATAAACAATTTTTAGGGTAAATAAATAGTGTGACTGAATTATTGACAGTTTGTCACTTCTAAGAAGTGCAAAAAAAAAAACATTCCTCATGAGGTTCAATTTTGACAGACACAGCACTTCGAATACGGTGAGCCTAAACCAGTTAACCTTTCATCAGTGGATGACTGTAGGAAATTATAGAAACAGTGCGATGTCTGGTGTATTTGATCAATGCGCTGGAACATTAAGGGCAGTGATTGGTCAGTCTGAACCTTGTACAAACCTCATCTGGCTCTCACCGGCACCGAGAAGACTGCTGGTGGTGGTCCGGTTTTAATGGACTGTTTACGGACAATTTAGCCAAACTAGAAGCAAGTGAGAGTGCGCTGAAAATCCACGAGAATGCTCCGTGAAGACTTTCGGGTAAAGAACCAATGTATGCAGTTTATTTGGACATTTGGATGTATACATTATCAGTGAGAGTGTGTGTGCACTTTGTTGATCCATATTGTAATACCACTGTACGAGAGCCATGGACACACAAAGCAGTTTTGGCAATAGAACTTAACACTCTTCTCCACATGTTGTATACCTTGTTTGATAATTGTCAGAAGAACCTACCAAAACCCAGTTCATACATGTATACATAGGAGTAATACTGCCTGACTAGGCTTAAAGCAAGTCTGTTGTAACCTGAAGGTCATATGTAGGCAACGATAGGTTCAAGGTGTGTGGTATTCTGTAGCTGAGCTGCATTCATGGACACAGTTATGTATTCTTAATATGTTGAATTAAAAGAACATGTAGATGTTCATCTGTATGTAGTCAAATGCTTATTTGTGTAAATGTGGAAAAACATTTGTTAGAAACACCTACAAGGGTCACTGACTCAAAATGAAACCATTGTGTTGTAAGTAAAGATAAGAATGTACACTTAAATACAAAACTTTATTACAACCATTGCAAATAGAAGTATGGAAATACAGTTTATCAACATGACTGAATGACACAATTAATCTTCTGAGTTTGCACTTGAGGACGATGGCTCGTCTGAGGTTTGTTTCGTAAGCTGCATGTCTGAGGAGGCAAAGAAGAGGTAATAAATTGGAAACATGTTCTGATACAGAAGGTTACACCCCCAAAAAGGACTCACTGTGAGATAATGCAACAAACTGCCTAAGACATCATGTCTGAATTCAATCAACATGTATTCCTCTTACCAGTGGTGCTATTTACCAGTCTAGATTGTAATGGTGTGAGCTGCTGAGTGTTGGAGATATCAGCTGTAGAGATGTCTGCCTTCTCTTCAATATAATGCAACTAGATGGCACTTAGCTTGTGGTGCTCAAAGCACCCAAATAAACAAAAAAACTCAACAGCAATGTCTCTTTCCAGAAATCATGACCCAGTTACTCAAGATAATTCAGACCTTGTTGTGAGCAGTTTCATGTAGGAACTATTTTCCTTCTTTAGAACTACACCCATCAACTGAATCACTGCGCAGAAGGAGGTGTGCATCTACTCATGGACAAAAGGTTCATGCTCCTGACGGCACGAGTTGTAAACATAAACATGGCATCCTCTTCAGCTGAGATGTAACGTCGGCTAGCTCAGTGGTGCTCGGTGAGCTCGCAGTAGATGCACGCTTCCTTCTACATCATGATACGGTTGGTGGCTGTAGATGGTAGAAAGAAAATAGTTCCCAAATGAAACTGCTCATAAATGAGTCTGTGGATTACCCTGGTCATTTTTTTCTGGAAAGAGACATTGCTGTTCGGTGTTTCAAATGTATTTTTTGGCACTTTTTGCAAAGTGCCCACACTTAATCTAGATTGATAAACAGCACTACAGGTAAGAAGGGAAATATGTAGTATTCATTTTAGGGTGAACTGTCCCTTTAATAGAGTTATAAGGAGGTTGTACAAAACAATTGACATTTGGAGCAAATCAAGCAACTGAGCACATGTTTTGATTTATAATAGACAGATTTAGAATATGATACAGTAACAAATGATGTGATATTTGATAGGCAATCAGTTTCAGCCTCCTCACCTGTCTCTTTGTATTCCACCCTGGTGAGGAAGAGGCCATGGGCCGGAGCAGCCATGTTTTTTGGGTAGGCAAGAGTGTCCCGAGCCTCCAGTAACTCCTTTAGCTGGGGAACTGAGAGCTTCCCCTGGCCCACAGCCACCACGGCCCCCGTCATCCTTCGCACCTGGAACACAGGGCCAAAGCAAACCTTTTTTATATCAATATTACTAAAAATATCACAAAAATAACTGCTGTCATCTCAGACATGTTAACAGTCCCTTTATGCTGAGTGAACATTATTTATAATCTGTATTTCCCAGCCATCACCAGCAGATGGAGCTACTTACTTACAATGAACTGCAACACATTATGGATTTTGAGGACAATAAGAGGAGCAAACCTGCTTATAGAGAAAAGATCTGCCTTTAAATGTCAGCTCCCAGAATGGTATCTCTCTGGAAGACAAAAAACCCCTAATGTTAAATCTACACAAATGTGTCAACAACATATACACACAATGCACCAGGGCTTTCAGACACATTCCCACTACTTCTCATTGAACGTTACAATGCTAACATCAAGTCCTGAAGGCATGACAAACTTGGCATCACTGACTGAGTGTGCCATACTAAAGAAAGGTTAAATATTGCTGAAGGGGTTAAAGTGTCATTTCAGAAGCAAAACAGTGTCTTGAATGGTTGTCAGATGTAATACAGCATGACTCAGTCACACAGGGAGGACTGTATGGGAGAGATTTAGATCTTTATGACACCTATTGAGCACATTACAAATAAAAACATGTCATGGGAATAACCATGTTATGAGATAAGAGCCTTTTTAAATCGAAATGAATAATTCACTCTCAGGTCTGTTACATGTTAAGACACGTTTCTCCTCTTTCTCTCTTTTGTTGGATATTTTCAATGCTTCCCCCGCTGTGTGGACAGAGTTGGAGGCTAATGTGACATTCATGCTCATGCCAAACATCAGATAGAGCTGGGGACTCTCCTCGTGCACAGATTTGTTTAAATGTCACACGCTGAATACGCCACTGCAGCTTAGGTCCAACAGGATTACGTGTAATGCCATAAAAAATACAAATGTGCGTCTTTTGCAATTTGACATTCATATTTCTTGTTTGTTGTTTGAATATTTGAGTCACAGCAGCCTGTTCACCCCCAAACTGACCAAGTGACTTTTTATTTTGGGAGGGAAAGAGTGAAGTGAGCAAACAGGCACATGGGAGGAATTGGGTCAAATGCAAATTTGACTCAGCGCTTGCCGTCTGATTACATTTGACATGTAAGGAGTGCAGAGACAGATTTTATACAGCACGGCTGTTAGCTCATGGACTCTGGTGACGGATAGTATCTTCACGGGAAGAAACGAAGGCTGTGTCTCATGCTGCACAGTCACACATGCATCTGTGATAAAAGCAAGGCCCCCCATTTAGACACACAGGACTATTTTGATTTTCCTCTTTTTGACAAGCTAACTGAAATAAAGCTAAAGGATTGATCAATTAGTTTATTGACAATTATTTTTAGCTATTTGATAATTAATGAATTGTTTAAGTAATTTATTAATCAAGAGACTGATCAAGAGGGACACCCAACTTGCTTTGTCTGGAGATCACTTTTGCGAAACGACATTAGACCAGGGGCCAGCTGCAACAACTTGCATAGGTCAGGAGCACACAGGGGCGTTTCTAGGATGTGAGGACATTTGGGGCTTAGCTCGGACCTGTGTAGTTATAGTTTACTAATGTATGTAAAACTTGCCACAGTGTGAACAGTGGTAACATAAGCTTCAGAACCAGCCATAATTTCAGCCCTGAGCAAGTGACCATCCACTATTGACCAGTCAATCACTGTGTTTCCAGCTCCACCTTTTAGTACGGGATCTGTGTGCTAGGCTCCCAAACAGAGGGATGATGAAAAATGGGGACAGTAAGTAACAGTTCTAATAGCACTATGCTACCGTTCTAATGTGTACAGAACTGAACTGGACTGCTTGGTGGAAACCAGGCTAAAGTTGAGTATCACCGGTCTACAGCCATGCTAAGAGCTCTGAGAGACAGTACTTAGGCACAGTGGTGCTTAAAGCTAAATGCTAACATCTGCATGCTAACATGCTCAAAATGACAATGCTAACAAATAAATAGAAATAATAAGAGGAAGAAAAAAATGGAAGTACAAATAATCAATTAATTAATAGCAAAGCATACGACACGCCTGCGATTTGGTGAGGCTGCATTACAGTGGTGCTTTGAGCTATGCAAACAGCTAACAAATGCTAACATGCAAAAATGCCGATGCTGATATAAAGCAGGTATAATGTGGCCTGTTAAATTGCTAACATTTGTTTATTAGCACTTAACCCAAAGTAGGCTTACTTTTTGGTTACGGGGCCCATAAAGTCCTGTAAGGTAATATATTTTATTTTCTCCTTCACAAAAGTTATTATCTTGTGGAAACTCAAGATAGTGGGCAAATTAAAAATATCGTCATTCAAGACTTTAGGGGCTCTTTACCAACCTCCAGGAATAGTGCCGATCTTTGAAGGCAATTGTACATAGTGACCAAATACAGAACAACAAAGTGTGGGTTCGTCAATCGATGCCATAGGGCCCCAAAAGACTTTTTCCTCATAGACTTACATTGTAAAAGAGACATATGAAAGTCAGTGGATACATTTTAAGAATGTCACAGCCCTTGCGAAATGACTCGTTTCACAATCTGAATTTGATCCATTCAGTGCGATTACAAGTTCTGAAAAATCTGAACAAATTATAGTAAAGGTGCAAATTAGATTAATTAAGTAAGAGGAGCTCTAAGCACGGAGATAGTCCCTTGTCCATCAGAGGTCTCTAATGTGCTTGCCCTATAGGCCCCACGATGGGGAAGATCCGAGTAATGTCATACCGCGGAAATTGAGCTTTTTTGGCTTCATGCGCCACCAAGCAACATATTAAGCATGAACTGTTCTCTGCCTCCAACACTGTAAACATCCATGCTGCGCACTAACCAAAGTACCGGACAAATTAAGATTTTGACCTGTTGATGGTGCTGGTTAAAGGGTCATCAGGGTGATTACAATTCATTCTATGAGGGGCATGATGTCCGTACCAAATTTCATGGCAATTCATCAAATAGCTGTTGAAATATTTCACATAAGATCACAAATCTCATAGAAGAATAAGAGGGGAAGTCAGGGGATCATGTAGAAGCGAAAATTGGTGCCTGGAAGTGGGCCAGATGGCTCCCGACCTCGTCTTCTACTCCTGCTGCAGATCGTCCTCTGAGTTGATTTAGTATCTTAGGTTCACTTGGCTGACACTTAGAGAAACACTGGAGTCGAATGGAATCAGGTGCAATTGAGTTTAATGTGTTCACAAGCAACAACACAAACAACTCATGAGTCAAGCTCCGGAACAAGACTGAAGTTTCACTTTCTGCGCTGCTCCCTTTTATGCTGGTGAAGATTCGAGAGAATCTCTACCTTTTTCCTTCAGTCCATCCTACCTGCGTTCGAATCTATTGGTGGCAGGTCTTTTTCTTTTTAGCCCTTTTCCATCTGGTCCAAATCTATTGGTGGCAGGCCCCTTGGGCCCTTGTCCAAACATAACCTCTGGGCCTGGAAATCCCCAAATTCTCCCACCATTAGATTCGAGCCTGGTTTCACTTTATTTTTTAAAAATATATGAAACCTGGGGACTTTCTCTATACAGTCCCCTGTGCTTTCATGCAATGTGAGCTTTTGGGTGTGTGTCATGTAATACAAACGTTAGAGTGTGTCTGTGTGTGTTATTATTAAACAGTACATGGTGTGGTATATGTGTGCTCTTTCAATATGTGAGTACATAACCTTGTGTTATGAATACATAGACTTGTATAACAGTGTTTTATCACACATAGATGCATAACAAACAGTTTTACAGGACCTTATACATAAAACATGGTTATATGACTTTATCTCTTAATCAACTTATGCAGTATAACACCTTTACCTGATTAAAGATCAAATCTTACACTACAATCATGACAGCCAATACGATTCACCCGCAGGGGACCACAAATATCTATATCAAAAGTTAGTAACAATCTGTCTGAAAATTACTGATTAATTTCATTCTGGACCAGACTGGTGAAGTCACAATGCTAGCATGGCTTTATTAAATGTAGAGTAAACAATATGAAGACATCATCTTGGGCTCACTCACTCTTACAGCATTTTTATCAAATAAATAATAAATCCATTCATTAGAAAAATAAAATAAAATAAAATAAATAAATTAAATTAAATGACTGTGGAAAAAAATTGAAAAGTTGCAACCTTAGAAAGAAAGATGTTCATAGAGGAAAGGCGTTTAGTGTTCAGTGTTGGATGAAGTGCAAGGCGAGTTTGGAAGAACGTGATAAATTATTTCCTGTAATACAAGTACAAATATTTGTATAACTTTGAATGCAACCTAAACATTACTCCACATTTTGTACTTATCACTAGGCTGAGTGTTTTTTTCAGTTAGCACCAGATAAAATGTACAATAAATCCCAATGAGAAGTGAACACACAAAATTCCGAAATGGAGTATGTTTCACTTATTTATGACAATGACATCTGAAATAATCCCATTTTTCCATGTCTAGCAGAGACCACAGAAATCAGCTGCACATACCACAACTTCTTGTTTTAGGATTAAAAATTTACTTCAACCTTTTGCTTTTCAACAATCCACCACTGGGTGTCTTCTCATTTTATCACTGGTACTGAGAATAGAAACCCTCATCAAAAAATAAACACACAGCTGAACTGCAGGCTTTCATTCATGGTAATTCTGAGGAGAATAAAAGAGGGAAAAGACTTTAGTTTGGTGAAAATGCAGTCATGGAGACAGATCTGTGACCCTGATGCTCACAGCTTGTTAATGCACCCTGTGCGTGGGGGTTAAGGGAGTATGTGACATTTACTCTGAGAACTGCTAACAGTCTGCCTATGCCCATATTGTGCACCATATTTCCAGGGAAAATAATTAATGCCCATGGAAGTGGTATTTGGCATGCAGAGTGACCCCTGTGGACGTGTAATCTACCAAAGCCCAAAGCCCAAAGCTCTCTCTCTCTTATGTTGGATCCCCATTGTCTGAAATACCTACATGACATACACTCGCACACACATGTACAGCACATAAACTCAAAACATTTCTACCTGTATAATCTAACATGCATCACAGCTTATTGTCCTACAGCAGTAAGCAGTGCTTCCAATGATGCACCTTTTGTTGCACTAAACGAACTATAGTTTTTTCCACATTTGGAAAAGATTAGTTTTGGGTCCAGATCACAGCCTGCTTGACCTGCATTTCGCCTAAATATAACATCAAACACGTCATGGAGTCTGACTGAAGCTTGAAAGGGAAATTTTCAAAGCTGTACATGCAAGGCTGGCTGTGTGGAGTGACTGTAAATGATTCAAAACTTTGGCCAACATCTTAAGCATCGGTTGATGCAAGATTGAGAAACACGATTGATCTTCTTGGAAGTGAAAAAGCATTCACGCATCATTTCTTTAATTTCTTGGCATTTTTCTCCAATTCGGAATAAGCTGTGTTACAGTTAACTCTACTGCTGGCCTGGGGAGGCTGCAGAAAGCCATGTGCTATCTCTGTGACAGCCTGACGCTTCTTTTCACCTGCCAGCAATGAGCTGTCCTGGGAGGGCACATTGGACTCAGAGGTTCATGCTATCCTGCCACATTTCACCTTGATTTCCTCAACTAATTTTCGGCAATGGTTAGAATTCCGTCAGTGTTCAGGAGGTTTATACTGTGAGCCGAATTATCCTATTCCTCTCCAAAACAAACTATCCTGGTGATTTAAACTGGCAAAAACACTAAATAAAGCAGTTTCATGTTAAAAACGTTTTTTACGACACTCTTGTTGCAAAAGGGCTGCTAACTACGGTGGCAGACGTGAAATCCAAAAACTCAGATAGCCTTATGTAGAGCTAGACAAGGACCCACTCCCTGTGTAGAAATAAACAGCTCATTCTAAGGTAACAAAAACAAAGCGATTTTTATTTTCAGGTAATTATACACCCAAGAGTAGGGCTGGGCGATATGGCCTAAAAAAAAACAATCTCCGATTTTTTCACAAAAAATCTGATTCACGATTTAAATCGATTTTTTCCCCTCCTAGTTAAAAAATATATATTTTATATTATATATTTTGAGTTATTTCCCTCTATGTAAAAGTCAGACACTGATGCGAGAGGCTGTGCATCATCCCTGCAGTGCTGAAAATAAAGTGCCGTTCTTTAACGCAGACGTAGTCCCGTTGTTTATGTGTTGTTGCCACAACGAGCCATGTTTGTGTATCAAGCGCGTGGGGGGCAGGGGTGAGCCCACTCTGAACTACCGGAGCCCAGCGTGGAGTGGCGGTGGCGGATTTTAAATAGAAACTCGATTTTCATTAAAACAAATCGGCCCAAACTGCAAATTCAAATTAATCGATAAAATCGATTTATCGCCCAGCCCTACCCAAGAGGCCATCCTTATTATGTTATATTCCATTTCTGCCAATACATCCCCCTAAATCCTACACACTGGGCCTTTAAACTAACTGAACTAATTTATATTTTATACTAAAAATAAATAAAATATGTAATGTAAAATAGGTTGCTCACAGTGACTAATCCACACAGAATAATCACCTAACTCGGCAGTTCATAGCAGCTAGCTAAACATAGTGTTTTAGCTCATTGTTTTGGGTTAAAAGCCTGCTGGTAAATATAGCGGAGCATTTAGTAGTAAAAGAGACAGATATTTTCCCTCAGGAGTTGGTGGAGAAGAAAAAAGAAGAACCAAAAGAAGAGTGGATGTTGGAATTATATTCATTATGTGGACACAAACACAACTCCACATGAATGAATGTACATGTCTAAGTAAATAAGCAACTGTTTGCTAAAGTGTTTACAATAATGTCTTCATAATTAGTGGCTGATGTGAAATACTGTTATGTGTGGTGTGTGTTTTCATGCTTTTTTTTTATGGTGTACGCTTTTAATTTTTTCTGGACTGTTATTGTAAGGCAGCAATACTTGCAGCTCCTGAGTCCAAGACAAATTTCCCTGCTGGGACCATAAGTTAAATCGTGTTATATGGCATGGTATCATATCGTATTGCATCATATCACATCGTATTGCACTGCATCACATTGCACATCATATCACATCGTATTGCATTGCATTACATTGCATCACATTGCACATCATATCACATCGTATTGCACTGCATTGCATTGCATCACATTGCACATTATATCACATCGTATCGAATCGCATCGTATTGTATCGTATTCTTTTGTACATCTTTATAAGGCAAAAAGGTGACAATGTTGCATTTACATCTTCTTTCTCTGCCCCCAAGTGGCCAAAAAAAGTAATCCAGCTTCAAGGGGACACCGTACATCAGGAATACTCAAGCTGCTTTGCCGAGGGGCCACTTTTAAAAAATGACAGGCATTTAGGGGCCAGTTTCTAGAAATTCGGGGCTTAGGATCTTCCCCTTCCACTCTTTTTTATAAACAAGCTCAATTTGAATGCTTTTTTTAAAGCACTCTGAAACAAAGTACAAAACAATCCCAGTGGGAATCAGTTTATTTCTATTGTGAATTATAAAAAAGGTCTGGAGGCCACCTGGCACCTGACTGCAGGCCAGATTTGGCCCCCCATAAGTTTAGTATCACTGCCCTACATCAGTGCATTTTTGTTTACTTGACCTTTGTGCCGACTACTAGTAGCCAATATGATCAGTCTGCCTGAATGTAAACCGCCTACCTGTGGTAGTGTGCCTGTGCGAAGGAGCCTCCTGGCTGTATGCTGGCCACAGTCAGCGTCTTCACAGGATTTACGAAAGGCATGTCATTGTTGACGGCCCTGAAGGTGCTGAAGTCCTGAGTCCCGACCAGCAAGGCGATCGCCTCCTGCATGGCTCCCACATCCAGCTCCCTGATTAAAGACAGAAACAGGAGACATTTTTCTTTAATAAGCGTTAGTAAAAAAATGCTAGATTTCCTGTGGCACAGGCAGCTGAGGTCATCAGACATCTTAAATCAACTTTTGCAGGCTCTTTGCAATAATGCAACTTGACCCGAAAGTGACCTGCCTGAGCAGCGAGGTCAAGCAGCTGGGAAGTGGTGTACACATTAAAGAAGACAGGTTTTCAGGCCTCTGTGTTCCTTCTTTCAGAAGTAGAATAATTTATTGGTTGACTTATATAATGTGAACTTTTCTGACGCAGAAAGCCACATGGGAGAGCAGAGCATGTCGACAACCGGCTCATTTGAGGGAGAGTGTGCGAGTGCTCAGTGCTCAGACTCTCTACAGTCTCATGCCTCCGTCACTGCTTAAATATGATCTGACAGAGAGCGAGAGAGAAGGGGAGAGATACAGCAAGTGGGGAAATGGAGGTGTGTGCTGAGTGACTCACTAATTAAAATCTTAATGCACCAATTTCAAAATCCTGAACATGAGAGTCATGAATGAAGATGTGGTGGAGTGCTGCAAAAAATGACGGCTGGTTTATTCTTATGCTAAGTGTCCTTTTTTTAAGAAACACTCAAACCATCTCAGATCAAGTCAGTCTATAATTCATCCTTTCATTATTTAGTGCTAAAACTTTCAAGGGAAAGTTGGAAAATGGCACACAGTTGAGTGAAAATAATTCTTGTCTGGCAACATAGGATTCAAATATTCAAGATTCAATATTTATTTATTTAGTACTTTGGTTTATGTCCAAATACCTATAAAACCAATAGCCTTCCTGAGCATCATCAGCTGCACTTTGTGTTTAGTGCTAATTACCAAATGTTAGCAGGCTAACAGAGTACACTAAGTTGGTGAACATGGTAAACACTATACCTGCTAAAAATGATCAAGTTAGAATTTGTAAACAAAGGTCCAGTGTTTAGGATTTAGGGGCTTTTATTGGCAGAGATGGTATATAATATTCAAAACTATATTTTCATTAGTTTATAATCAGCTGAAAATAAGAATCATTGTGTTTTCCTTACCTTAGAATGAGCCATTTATATCCATAGACATATATACGTAGACGCCGCATTGAGTGGGTTTGCCTGCTGCTGCGATACGTCAACGTTGCCGCCATATTGGATGTGGCAAGGCTGCGCTGTAAACTAATACAAGTGAATGGACTTAATTTCATAAAGCACCTTTCTACAAAGAAATTTACGTTAATGCCTCTCGTTTATTCATTCACACACACACTAATATACTTGGGAAACAGTTAGGCACTAAAAACAATGTATTTGATCTTCTCAGATGGCTAAGATAAGAACTTTATTGATCCCACGCAGGAGTAATTCACCTTACATCAGCTATAGAGAACAAATATATATGTGTGTGTGTGTGTATATATATAGTACAGTAGGCCTACAATAAAAATACAAGACACAGTAAAAGGACAGACAGATACAAAAATAGCAAATATTTGCATATAAACTAAAACGCCAATGGTTCCAAAGCCTTGAGGTGAACCTAACCATACTAACTGAAATTAAGCTGATTGGTGACTCAGATATCCTACACAATTACACTGAGGCTTGAGCTTCCCTTCCTTCAGAACGGTACTCCATGCTGGGGAGAGGAGTTAGGGGCAAGCCGTCACCCCAGTGACTGCCGAGCAGGCTCCGACGACCCCGGCGCTTCCCTCTCCTGCGATCCCGACGCAGCAGCACCAGCCCCACGGGCCCGGCCGGGCGATCCATGGCAATAGCACCTCTCCAAGTCCGTCATCCGGCGATCCAGAGCCGCAGCCGTTCCCTGGTCTTCGATCACGCTTGCCTGTGTTTCCAATCTCTCTCTCAGAGTGGAAACTTCCTGGCTATACAGTACAGGCCAAAAGTTTGGACACACCTTCTCATTCAATGCGTTTTCTTTATTTTCATGACTATTTACATTGTAGATTCTCACTGAAGGCATCAAAACTATGAATGAATACATGTGGAGTTATGTACTTAACAAAAAAAGGTGAAATAACTGAAAACATGTTTTATATTCTAGTTTCTTCAAAATAGCCACCCTTTGCTCTGATTACTGCTTTGCACACTCTTGGCATTCTTGCCCGCAGCATTAGACGCAACTACATGAGACCTTTAATCTGCAAAACTTTTGATATGCAATTAAAAATTTAAGTCAGTTATCAGGCAACACTGTCAAAAGCTGCATCTTCAAGGTGTGATTTTATGCTGCCTTGCCGTTGTGTGTAAAAAATTTGATCACTGAATAGGGGGACAGAGGTGTCTCACCCTTAAGGCAGCACTGAAGGTGGTAGCAGTGCCAAAATTATGTCTGTATAAACAGGACAGCAAGCAGGACATCATGGATGATCATGGATGAGACGAGTATGACGTTTTGACGACGTGTTACACAGAGATTTAAAGAGTAGCTAGTAGCAGTTAGCAGCTCACTCAAAGAAGAAAAAGCTGCTGAAAATTTTTCACAAATTGGAAAAACTGCTGCAATTCTCTTTGTTATATCACTTTAATGTTCAAATTCATAATATCCTGGGGTTTTGGAGTGTCAGTCAGAGAAAACCAGCAATTTCCTCAGGCTTTGGGATAATGAGAGAATTTTTTGTTTTACTATTTTTTTTTCATTTTATAAATCAAATAATTAATCAAAAAATCTGTTCTCATTTTTAAAAACTTGATGTGATTTTAATTCCCCAAGAAAAAAGTTTCTGCTGTAATATGATCACTGAATTTCAAAACAAGAAGAGATTCTTTCCCTTGTTGATTTTAAGACTAAATTGAACATTAACATGAACAGTGGACATTTTTATTTTTTGCAGCGGGGGAGATGGGAGGGTGGTGTGATGACGAGGGAGAGGCAGATCAAAGAGAGAGCGGAGAGAGGATGCTGTGGCAGAGACGCTCAGGGGTGGAAGGATGTGTAGTGGAGAGAAGGAGAAGGGTGGGAGAGAGTGAGAGAGAAAAAACACAGTCAGGGTAATGTGCGTGGGTGTTGTTCTGCATGCGTATAAGCCCGCAGCTTATCTTGCCCTACTTTTTCCCCAAAAAAAAGTGAGGAGAGAAGAGCAGACAAATGCTCATATGTACGCTCACTGAAATGTGTTTCTTCACGCTCCCTCCTTCCAATCACAGCTAGGAGAATATTGTCTCAGCAATGCAGCCCTCACCATTTCATCAGTTTCTTTCTCTCTTTCTGTGCTCTGTCCATCTTTGCTCTGTCCATGTCTTTTCTCACCCTCCTTCTCCTTTGTTTGTTTTTGGAATGTCAGCTCAGATAAAAAACACTTTGTTTGATTGGCCTTAATTTGCAGTTCCGGTGTGGCACGTGTGGATTATTCATGTGTTTAACGTGCCATTGTTTCTACAAGGCTTGGCATGAGCTTATTGAGGGCGTGTCTGCGTGCGTGTGTGCGTGTGTGTGTGTGTGTGTCTGGACCTACTTGTTAGATTGTGTCTGAGCTCTATTTTTTTTCTTAAAAGGAAATCATCAAACACAAGGATGAAGGATGAAAAGACAGACGAGTGAATGAAGGAGAGGAGTGGTATAAAGGGGGGTTAACTCACGTGTTGCTGAGCTTCCAGCACAGACCGTATTCTGTGAGGGGAAGTGGAGAGCTGTGGGTGATTCCCAGGGCGATGCGGTAGACGTAAGTCCGAGACTGGGCACGATAACGGGCATGGAAGTTATCAGGCACGCGGTGGGCATGGGTGATCCTGGTAGAATGACAAAAGAGCAGTTGCACTGAAAGGTAACATCCATACAGACTGGAAATTTGAGCTCTAATGGATGTCTGACATCATGAATGTGCAGCCATTTCTTAAAAAAAATCACAGAAAATAATATTAAACATTTAAATTCTGGTGGATATCTAGACAAAAAGTAAACAACCAGTGTTTCATTCCTCCCTCAGACTGAAGCAGTCTCCAGACACAGATGGTGTTAATTCTCTCATTTTGTACTGCCAGAAAGAAAAACTGTGCACGAGCCATTGTCCAAAATGCCAGCATTGCAGCTTTTTACACAAAAGCATACTCGTTGTTGGAGTCCTAAAAGGGCTGCCAAGAACCCCAAAGAGCCAAGTGCTTATGCTCACACAGTTAGCATCACAACAGAGCTCTCTGATGTGAGTCCAGCAGGGGCACACTTCCTGTGTATCTGTGCACAGAGAAGCACTCAGGCAGGGATAGATCATGTCACAACTCTAATGCACTCAGACAAAATTTCCTCTTATGATTAAATCAACCCGTGTGGATGAATTTGTGAGTGTGTGTGACATCTTGAGACTGAGTATGTAACTGGCATCTCTTTCAGAGCTGTGCACATGTAATTGAATCCACTTACTGAAACAATGAACCCCACTGTGTTGTTTAATAAATCTACAAAGATTTATAAAGAATTTGACGGAAAAAGGTTTGAACATATTTGGCTGTGTTGTTAACTTTTCCAGCTGCTTAAGCTCTTGTGATAACCCAGTGTAAGTGCTTGAGTGAGAGTTGTCTTCATGACTGGTGCTACAGCAGCTTTAATGGACATCTATTTCTAATCACGGGAGGGCTGGAGCCTATCCCAGCTGACATTGGGCAAGAGGCAGGGTACACCCTGGACAGGTCACCAGACTATCACAGGGCTGATACATAGAGACAGACAACCATTCACGCTCACATTCACACCTATGGACAACTTAGAGTTATCAATTAACCTAATCCCCAATCTGCATGTCTTTGGACTGTGGGAGGAAGCCAGAGTGCCCGGAGAGAACCCACGCTGACACGGGGAGAACATCCTACACCTGGGATTGAACCGGGAACCCTCTTGCTGTGAGGCGACAGTGCTAACCACTACACCACCTTTGCCCAAATTTAGAGCTTAAAAGGAGCTGTATGTGACATTCAGAATCAGACCACATCTATGATTCAGATTCTGGGCTTGGATTGTCTGTGCACAGCTCTCAACATGTGGTGGCTAAGATGGCGGCCAGAAGCCAACAGTGCTAACAGTGCAAACAGTGTTAACAACAGCAACAGTGTTAACATGAGGAGGACTGGAGGGTTGGTGCAAGGCTTCTACGACAAACCTGTCCCGTCACCATAGGTCGGGTCCACAGACTGTAAAAATAATGGATGTAGCTACCGTAACGTCACTCATTGGTTTATGGACTCTCGTTTTGAAGCCCAGAGCTTGGTATTTCGGCCGTTGCCATCTGGAGCCAGAAGTGACCATATTTGGGCGGGAGGCCGTCATCAGTGGTAGCCGCCATGTGAGCGCAGTGCAAAGTGGCAGAGATTAGCTAGTCAGTGGGATACACACACAAGGACTCACATGCATGTGTGGCCAGACCGCCCACAATAACACCGGACAGAGAAGCTCAGGTTACCACACACACACACACACACACACACACACACACACACACAGGTAGCATGACATTATTCTCTGGTCAGGACACCATTACTCCACTATATCTTTACATAGCTAATAGTGGTTTGTTGCTATATTTCCTAAATTAGCATAAATATTTTTAATGGCTGTTTTTTATTATTATTCATGCGTTCATGGCTGATAAAGAAATTAAGACTCAACACTCCCACCCTTCAGTGAGGCAGAGATACTGTGTACCGTACAGTGACAAGTGGTGAATCTTTACTGCTTACATCTCTAAACTCAAAGAACAAAGAGCTGCAGCCATCTGTGCCAGTGTGAGTGGCCGCACAGACCACACTAACACCCTGTAGTGTTTGTCTGCACATGCCTGTTCCTGTACACAGAGTATGCATTCATGCATGTGTGTGTGTGTTGTTTGTTAAAGAAAGCGGGAGGTGACAGGGGTTGGCGCATGTTAGCATGTATGACTTTATGGAACAATGGGAACAATGGTCAAATATACACATCCCATGTAGTGTGCAGAGGCATCTCCTTTTCTGTGCACTGCAGTGCACGTACAGTCTGCATATGTGTGCGTGTGTGCCAGTGCACAGTCTAAGAAACTAGGTTACGTTTCCAGGGGAGGAGATTGGGTGCGACACGTGGCAGAGGAAACCCTTGCGTCTGCCTTCAGCGCCTGCTCCAATATGAAGTGACAGCCTTTTGCCTGGCCCCCAAAACCACACACACAGACACACACACACACACACACACATCAAATTTTTATAAGCAGTGTACAAAGCATGGCCTCACACATTTGGGAACTGGGGCATTGTTTGGCATGGCACCATTTTGCTACTCAGCAGTTTCCCCATATGGGAAAAGGGCTGTTCATTTTAGGCTAATTGAGGCCCTTGTTTTTTTCGTGGCAGCACAGAAGACAAGTGAACGCCGACCGGAGAGGGGTTTTTGTTGTTGTTTTTTTTACAGTGTGAAAGTCTGTGTTTAAATCTAGTTTTGGCACTCTATCTCAGGAGGCAGCAGACCAAAGCTAGAAGCCGGGAGCCATATTCATATTGTTGCTCTAACAAAAACTCTTTTTGGTCATCTCCTCCAGCCAAGTGAGATGTGAAAAGAAGTTTCAGGGTGCCAGATCTGACAATGTGTTTTTTACAGACCAAGGATGAAAACTTGTATCCAATCTGAACATAGGGGAGTGTGTATGAACAGTACTAGTGGTTGAATATTTTGGCACTGTGTATATAAGGTACTGTGAAGGCCGTAAATAATTCTGTTTTATAAAGCTACGGAGAACAAAAAGTGTGTCTATGGTGTATATTTCTCAGCGGGTTTCACATTCTAATCAACACCGTAATTTCCATTTAGCTTGAAGAGTGTATCCGTGTGTGTGTGTGTGTGTGTGTGTGTGTTGTATTAATGGATGCTATAGACCAAAAAGCAGAGCAGGGATAATCCTTTCTAACCTTCTCTCTGCAGGTTTAGGGATTAGCAGGATGCTGGGAGCTTCCCTTTCCTCCCTCCTCTCTCCTTTCTCCCAAATGGCTCGTTCTGTTTCACACTCTCACTCCTCCGTCTTAATTCAGTGTGTGCCAACATCTGTTAAGTGCTCTTGCTTTGTCTCCCCCTCCTCCTTTATCCCTCACTATCTGTACCTCTTGCTCTCCCTCTCGCTCCTTTGTCCTTCCCTGTTTGCATGTATTTTCTATGCTTCTCTCTGGAACAGAAAAGCTGCTGTCTAAATCTCACAAAGTATCATAGCGGTTTAAAGCAAAGTAGTCATAAGAAAGTGACTACGGCTTTGAATAATGCAATGATGTTGTAATGAATGGATTAAAAAAAGGTGAAGAAATGCACTGTGGGAAAAGAACCAGGATTTGAAATACTTCCACACAACTCATGCTGCTCTTTTCTTTTAAATGATCAACAGATGCACTGCTGGAATGTCACCAAATCTATGTGTATGCTAACCTTCGTATGATAATGGGATGATTTATGGTAAATGACAGAGGATTGGTATGTCATGTCACCATATGCAAAGGTCACTATGGTTATTCCCTCATTTACTGGCAATGGCTAACACACAATGGTCTGCATCAGACATGTTTTACATAAAGAAAAATATGGAAAACTCTGCAGACTGAAATGGTGCATCAGTTATAAATATAAGGCGACATGAGACCAAAGAGTTCTGGGGATAGAACTCGCAGAGATTTTCAGGGTAGATGTGTCCCAGTTGTACAATTTGCAGATTTAACCCCTGTCTGAGGAGACTGCATCAACTCGTGAATATTTAAAATGTCACACTCATATAAGGAGTCCAGACTCACCTGATTGGCTCCTCTTTGAGATGGTAATTAAGATAATCAACCAGACGGTCTTCAGGGAATGGTGGCTTATCGTTCTTGCGTTGGAGGTCAAAGTGGGCGGAGTTAGAAAGGGCGTGGACACCACTGTCTGTCCTGCTGGAGATCGACAGGGACACTGGGTTGAGCGGCCTCAGCATCCTTATAGCATCCTGTATACAAGACAAAAAGACAGTCGCTCATGTCTTACTACAATTATTCTGATAAGTTACATGGACACAGAGAAAAAAGGAATATAAAGTAGAGCTGGACACAACAGTGCAACACGAACAGAAAGTCTGTCATCTTCTTTGCTGTGATATGTTTCCTTGTGAGTGTGTGCACTTTTTTTCCCTAATATACTTGTGGCCCCCTTCCTGCCCCTGAAATACAGTATTAGACAGCAGAGAGTCGACAGACAATGAGGGAGAAGAGTGATGGAGAATGACACGCGACAGGGATCACCAACATGCAGACTGATGAGCTGAATAATCTGCTGTATAGAAACACAATGCAATTCAATAGCACCCCAAGCTGCAGCCTCCAAAATGAGCATACAGTTGTATCAGCGCCTCTCTGAAACAATTTCAACAAAAACTGAACATTATAACCTTTGTGAAGGAAGGATTTATTGCCAGACTGTTGTATTAGATGAATGACTGAATATTTTTTTTATTTCGGTTTCATACAACTGGAGAAACAAATATTATTCCACACAAATTTTCTCACACTCAATAACCTAAGTGTAAGTTACACAGCATTTGACACAGTGGCTACTGCACAACCTTTGTGAATGTTGTGTTTTTTCCATATGATTAATGGTGTTCAGCTAATGTTACAATGTAAACCAAATAATACTCAGCTCATAACTTCATTGTTTTCTGAAACATGTATTGGAGGACAAAACAACATGGTGATATCAGTAAAACTTACCTCCAAGTGTTCCTGGACACCTGTGCTTCTTGGCTGGGGCACCTTCACTGCACCACTGCAGATATAATAATCAATAGTAAGTAAATAAATAGACAACACACCTTCAGGCTGTAACCAGACACCCTGCAGTATAACCTACCTGTATTTTGTTCCTATGTATTGAAAAAAGATGAGATAACGTGCCCTGTTGTGCATGGTCTCTCCAAATGGCTCTGACACCTCCTGATCACACTGTTCGCCTTTACAATGAATCGTTACAGCTGCAGCTAATGTAGGCTATTAGAAAAGCAGGTTAGTCCAACACTTTAATCAGTGTTTTTCTCTTGATAACAACTCAATAAAACAACTAAAACATGAGCACTGTGTCAAATACAAACGCTGTATACAAGTATACAAATACAAGCGCACACGTAAACATTAATTTATAGTTTAAAGCGAAACGTTTTCTCCTTGGTGTGTGTGTGACAGGACTCTGTAGCCCTGTCCGTCCCTTTTTGATTGCGTCATAATCCACAGAGCGGGTGTGTGTCGTCGTCGACCAGCCGCAAAGCCTTCTGCCTTGAAACTCACTGAGAACAGAGACTGTGTAAGGTAGTGGAGATGAGTACGCTGAGAGTGGAGTGAAGAGAGTCAACACGGGCAACGTGGCCTGTTCAAGATCATTGGTAGAGAATTATTAAAGGTAAAGAAAGAAAACATTTTTATGACATTTAGCCTATCTTTTTCTATGAAAATATTAGTTTGATAATTACACTCAATTGCTCTTTGGTTTCACGTCACTAATCCTATTGCAAAATTTATCGCCAGTAATCTGAGATTCAAGTCTGATGTCCTCCATTAAAGTAGGCCTAAAGAAAATAATAGTAATAATAATAATAATAACAACAACAACAACAATAATAATAATTATAACAACAATAATAATAATAAGAAGAAGAAGAAGAAGAAAAAGAAAAAGAATGATAATTGAATAATCAGAGATTCAACCAAAACTCTCTTTTTTTTCATAAAGCTCTATAGGCTACTACATTTTAGACACTCAAAATGCAAAATGTTAAATGTCAGATGTGTTTTGTTGACCTGCAAAATGTTTTTGATTCAGGGCTATTTTATGGGCAAATTGTTTTTATTTGTTCTACTCATGCCCATATGCAGTAATCCAAATCACAATCAAAACAACTCTAATACATATTTCATGACCATAAAGTAGGGAGAAGAAAACAGTGTTATTGGTGATGTAGACTAGCCCACATTTGGAAGTGCCAACTGAAAGTTTATTGTGTTTGATCCATAAATTGTTTAAAATTTTATTTTGTACAACATCTGGTTGGATTGCATCCAAGTTTTGGCAGAATAATTGCATTAAAGGTCCAGAAAGCAGAAATTGTATATAATATTCATAGAAATGTTTTTATTACTTTGTGACCACCTGAGAATAAGAATCGTTATGTTTTTGTTACCTTAGAATAATGTTTATATCTAGCTACATAATGGACAGGTCTTCATCCACAGAGTCTACCATATTTCTACAGTAGCCCAAAACGGACAAACCAAACACTGGCTCTAGAGAGGGTCATTTTAATTTTTGCTTGGGCCACCATAATTCTCCTACATGCAATCTGCAACCTCATCACTAGATGCCATTAAATCCTACACACTGGACCTTTAAGTAGTAACCCAATTATTCTATATATTAAAACCACATTTTAAAATATTGAACTCATGTCCGGCGTGTTTTTAAATTTGATATGGACTATTTCTTGGATAAAACATCACCATTTCCAGTTGGATACATGGCGGATGTAAGACTACTCAGCCAGTTTAATTATGTTACACAATAACATAATTAAACTGGCTGAATAAGTAGGCTACAGTCATTGTTTTAAGTGAGTTTATATTAAAGTCTCATCTGGTTCATCCTCCCATGATTCCTCCTGTTCTCCTGAGGTGTTCCAGCTTGTTGTATCCAGTCGGCGCTCTCTCCTTCTCTTCCAGTCTCCACGGTGCAGCTACGCCTCTCGCCTCTCTCGGAAGCAGTGGCAGCAGTGTAGTAGTAATCTGCCTGCCGCGCACTGAGCTCGCATTTTGTGTCACGGTGCCACCGGGAGAGGGGCGACAGCGCTGCGCGTCAGGGGACACCAGTTACCATCCGCACGGTTCAAGCGACATCCCGCCGCGGGCAATGACATTGGCCGACTGAAGTGGGAATACACGAGAAAACGCAAAAATGACGGTGGACTTTGAAGAATGTATAAAAGATTCACCCCGATTCAGGTAAGGCTGCTCCTTGCAGGCACATCACAGCGGTGCGCAAAAATGGCACACCTTCTTTTACGCATGATTTTTTTTTGTAGATGGGCACCAAACGCTCTGCACTCATGTGGAATTAATGATGGCATCAGAAGTGTGGTGATTAATGTCTGATTCGCTGCTGTCCAACAGCATGATGTCGTATTTCTTTCATTTTGGTCTTTTATTACATTTTTCAAAATCAAATCTTAAATCTCCTTTCCTGTATTTTTTTCTAAATGCCAGAATTTGTAGGTTATTAAACATTTATTTGCACTGTGATGCATTTTGCTGGAAGACACGCGGGTGTCAGTGGATGCAATGTGTCTGATTTTTGAATGTGGGTTGTAACGTTAACGTAACCACGCACAGCGAGGATCCATTTTGCTGTAGTGTAAAAAAAAAAAAAAGATAAGTGATTTTCAGCTTGCTTTAATCAACAACCTGGTATGCACTGAATAAAAAAAGGGCCACCTTTAATGTGGCCTTGTAACAAGTGACAGTGTTAAATGGGACCCTCCTGTGTGTGAATGAGTGTTGCAGCATGGCACACAGTTTGGGTGCAGTCTTTTCATTGCTCATGGAGGAGGCCCTGTCACCCACTGGTGGTGGGAGACTGGAGAGGAGATGCCCTTGCAGCAGCAGCAGCAGCAGCAGCTTTGGCCTGGCTGGCAAAGAGGCAGCAGGGAGAGGAGTATGCGCTCTCTCTGCAGGGTTGGAGCTCGTATCCTGGGCACAGATCCAGCTGTTCGGCCCCTCGCCTGCCCGCTGGAGGGTTGTAGCCACACTCAGTCCACGTGCCAGTCTGGCACTCCTATGCAGGCTGATGAGAAACTAGCAGAGGAGATCCTGACAGCATGTAGGCCAGGGATGCCCTGTTAACTATGCCAGGGAGATGGGCTGCTATAGTGTCATTTATTTGGTGTTTCACTGAGAAGTAGCAGAACGTTTTACAAATATTTTGTTCTGTCTATATTTCTGTCTTCTGTTCTGTTTCTCCATGTCAGCGTCTGTTGCCTGTTTGCTCTCTGTTCTCCGTGTTTGTCATTTTTGTCGCTTCCCTCTCCCCTTTTCGTCTATGTCAGACACAACCCTGTTTGTTGAACGACTCACAGATAGTTTGTGATTTGAGTGAGTGAGCAGACAGTGGAAATGATAGAAAGAGAGCTGGGAGAGACAGACGTTCAATTTGCTACTTAAATCCCACCTCAATGATGGATGGCCGAGACGGGAGGTCACAGGAAGAGACATTTTCTGTCTGGTTCACTTTCCCATGGTCTTATGAAGGCTGTTATTTGGAAAATTCCAACACTGACAAAGGAAGCTGATGTCTCATTGGGTTTACAAGCAGTAGGGAAAATGTGATATTGCGTAGTACTGGGATCATGACGATGGTGATGAGGACTCTTATCCTGTTTTGGATCATGTATGGATTAAGATGGAACATGAGATACCTTGTTTTTCACCCTCCTGTACATGATATTATCAGGTTTCTGATCATCAGTGCATATCTTGGGTTTGGTTTCTGGCTGCCTGGACACTCTGCTGAACAAGGCTCAGGATACTTGAGTGCATGTGAACACACACATTGTTTTCTACCAAAAAAAAGAACAACTCCTAATAAATAAAGAAGGCGTTGTTCAGAGAGTAATTTCATGTGACACAACTATTACCATAAACAGACTCTGTCATCTAATTAAAGACAGTCACTGCAGACCATTTTCCATTAATTTGGAGGGACTAGTGCTCCAGGTTTCTTTCTCCTCCTCGTTGTGTCATGCTGGAGAAACAGAAGTATGAAGCGCAGAGAGCCGGTCCTGTCTGTCTTCCCACACATGGTTCTGAAACAGCTCACACACACCCTTGCACTGCAGGTCTTAACTTGTGCCAGTCTTGTATGTGCGTGTGCATGATTGGGTGAGCATGAAAGAGTTTATGTCTGGGTATCTATAACACACATCTTTTTTCTTTGTATGCTAAACTCCTTTTCTCTTTCGTGCCTTGCCTTTTATTCACCGGTCACCTGCTGCATTCATTCATTCAGTAACCAAACCTGAGACGAAGCCCTGTGCACCTGCCTGTAGTTGTTGCTTTGTTAAATGGTTGTAATCTGATTCTCTGGAGGCAGATTGGGTCAGTTTTTGGCTGAAGTTTAGAGAAGTTCTCATGCTTGTGGTCTTGTTTTGATGGCAGAACAGAAGTGTGTTCAACATGGTCATTATTATAAACTAAAACCAACTGATTTGAACATGATATTTTGATAAGCAGTGCCAGGTGTAGCGTGTTACTGATTGTCTTACTCATCTGCGATTTAAATTTGTAAATCACCTTATAGACCCAGTTATCTTAAAGGCAAGTATTACATGGTCCTTGTACAACTTATATTTAAGTCTTACATTGACGACATTGTTGTGATATAAGTATTAATATGCATATGTGGGTGTGAGCTGTTGCCTAGCAACAGCTGCTCTAAGTGAGACAAATGGGAGCTGGGAGAAAAGAGGACAGAGAATTTAAGAATGGAAGAGGAGAGTGGGTGCTTTGAAAAGACGCCGTCATTACTTTGATTTTCCCACACAGAGATGAGTTTCACTGTGACAAGTGGGTCCGCTTACTTTCTGTTTTGATACATGTCATGGATAGTAAAAGTAAAGCATCGGTGTAAATATTTCCAGAAAATAATCGGCAGATAATGAAATTAATCAGTATTTGCAGTCCAAATACAACCTCCAAATCAATGGTTGCAATCTGCCATAAAGTGGAAAGAAGAGGAAACAATTATCCACAGTTGAAGCAGGAAATATCATGCCATTTCCACCATACGATGATACAGAAGGAACAAATTGGTGCACACAGAACACAGGAAATTAATAAATTAATTCATTAGTAGTTCAATTTATTAGAGTAATAAATGTAGTTATTGGTGGTGTTGGTGAGAAACCCTCTTTTATTTCAGGTGTGTCTCCCCAGCGTTAAGGCATCAGTGTCATATGTAGACTAATAACAAAATGAAAATACTGGATATGGAATAGCAGATGTCCCCTCTGGCTATCTCAGGCCGGTGAGCGTACAGCTGGGGCTTTACAGATCCGGGGAACCAGCCGCACCTGTCTGCCACTTTCTGTCATTTTTATCCCACCCACATACAGTACACAGCATCAGGCTATCCAGACAGGTTGAGTGAGTGAGTCAACAAGCTTCACAAAGTGATGGGAAGAGACAGATAGGCAGGGTGGACACAAAAAATGTTATGTTGAAAATGTGCTACAAAACCTACAACAGTCTTATATTCTACCTTTTTGATGTTATAACTTGTTGTGAATAAACCTGTGACCTTAGTTCAAGAGATTTAGAAAAAAAATGAAATATTGTTAAAGATGCTTTATAGTAGTGCACTGAAAAACCACCCAGCATTTACAAGGACTTATTTTCTGCATAAAATATTCAGCTAAGTCAAATCCAGTGTCATCAGTCATCATGAACAGTAAATCATTTCCCACAGGACTGAATAGGATTGTGTTACACTCACCACTTTCATATCACTCTAAAGTTGTCAAACCGGCTCGCTAATTGATTCATATTCCGATAATCTCTCCAGGCTCCAGGTTGCTACATGTCGCACCGTGCAGCCGGCAGAAGTTAACAATACACTGAGAGAGATGTTTAAATCTTGTCAGTTATCTGATCGTATCTGAGCGTCGCTGCCTGTTCAGAAGTCAATTTTGCTGATGATTTATTCTTTGTTGGGTATCTGCAGCACCTGTTTTGCTCCTGTTAGGTGTGTACGTCCCCTGTAGTTGCCATGGTTACCCACAGGAATTACAGATATGAGGTCACAACCTTGTCAGTGCAGTCAGTGTGCTTTTGTTGATAGAGGCAGCTTTTAAACCCCACATTCTGTGGGAAAGGTAAACAGACTAGGTATGTCTTATTATGTTGACTGATCCAGACTGATTATTTTTTCATTCACTTCCCCTGCACTCTCTGTTACTCATAAATACAAGATGTTATTGCTTGTGCTGCGTCTCCAGTCCCAGTTTATTAAGTTCCATAATCATCACGTTAACACAAATCTGTAGCCATGAAGAGTTGTCAGAAATAAATTCTATTGGAAATCTAGACAGTCTACATCTTGATACTTAAAGAGTAATATATTTTAAGTCATTGGCGGACAGGGTTTGGTCAGAGATTTGTGAGTACTATGTAAAATGGCGCTCTTATATGTGATTCTCTACATTATTATAAAAGCATGTCTCCATTTATTGGCAGATTTAAGTGCTTTTCGATGCTCTACATATCTGTCTGGTGCTGTGGTTCCTCTTAGCTTTGCAGTTTTTATACCCCACCTGTTCCATCATCACCTATAATCCTCCTTTTTACACACATCATCATTTTGCTTATCTGCAAATAATGAATTCCTGTTGGGCAGCAGCCTGTGAAATATGTAAATAGGCACCATGTTGCCTTCTCTAGACGGAGGAGGGAAAGTAGCCCTTTTGTTGCCAAGGGTGACCAGCCGATTTGGCGGGCATGGCAACCACCTCTCTTCACCAGCCTCTGCCTCAGTCAAGGATGTAAGGAGAGGCTCACATCTATCTCCGTCAACACTGAAACACAAGCCAGCAGAGAGAGCACAGTAGTGATATTTGCAGGATACATGGAACAGTGAGTGGTGACCTTGAAACAGAGCAGATGATTTTATAGTAGAAAAGAAAATGCATTAATGTGCTGAATGAGATTACCTGTTGCCAGAGTAGGCTGACATTGATGAACTACATGTTTGGTAATGGAGTGATGCCTGGAAAGTGTTCCAGACCGAAGCCATGAAAGTATGAAGTGCCAGCGTTGTCCTTGTCTGTTTGTCTTTAACTTATTTTGGAGAAAACCTCTTTCGGAGCCACACTGACCCTCTGACCTTCTCCAGAAATAGATCCATTCTGCAACATCAAGTCCTTGGCAAAACGTTCAGAAAGATTCCAGACCAC